GGGCGCGAGGGGCCAGCGCCCAAACGCTCTCGGCGCCATGTACGCCCAACGGCGAAGCGCCGGCCGCCATCGCGTGTGGCTGTCGAGCGATGCTGGCGCCGTGCCGGCAGCGGCGGTGCAGAGCTCCACCAGAAGTGCCTCGCGCTCGCCGCGCGAGAGCGGACCGCCCTACCAAAAGCCGCGGCCACCGTGACGTGGGGAGCGCGGCCGCAATGGGCTTCGCGCGGCTGCCACCGGCGCCTCGGCTGCGAGCGGAGACGCCTCCGCCCACAGCCTCGCAGCGAGGGAGAGGGTCTCCGCGCACATCGCCGGCACCGAACTCGTCTCGGCGGCGTCCGCCTCTGCCTCCGCCTCCTCCTCCGCCTCTGCCGTCGCATCAGCCACAATGGGCTCCAGAGCGAGCGCCTCGAGAACAGCCTCGTCGGCCTACGGAAACGGCAACCCCCCCGATCAACCAACCCGGACCCGCGCACGCCAACGAGGGCGCGAAGAAGCGAGGTCACCTCCCCAGCGAGGCGCGGCTGGAGATCGCCGCCGCCCTCCTCCTCGCCCTCCGCCTCGTCGGTCCGCTGCGGATGGAAGAGCCACCCGTCGACCCACCGTAGCCCGATCAAGCTGAAGATGGAGCGCAAGCACGCCGCCACCACCTCCGAGCACAGTGTGTCGTCCTAGTACGCCATGTGTACACCGAGGTCAGGGCGGGAAGACGGCATTGTGCAGACTCCTCAGAGCACCGTGTGGATACACGGGCTGCGCGTACAATGATCGGAGTACGGCCGAATACAGTCGTACACGTGTCCTCTCGAGCGCTAGTCGGAATACAAGAGTCCGTCTTCCGCTTCTCGGTGCGCCGTCCTCCCCAAGGGTGCGCACGCCGCGCAAGGCAGGCGCAGCGACGCGCAAGGCCGCGCGTGCGCGCTCCCCCCACGCGTCGCTCCGGCTGCTCTGAAGCCACAGCGGGTCCGCCGCACAAGGCCAGCGGTCCCCCTCGGCGCACGCGTCGCGCAAGACATCTGCGCACGCGTGCAGCACCGCCGCCGTCGCCGCGCCGCCGAGCAGCCGCACGCCGCCGGGCGCACACGCGAGCAGGAAGCGCTCCGCCGCCTGTGGGGGGCCGCCGCCAGCCTGCCGGCCGAGCGCGGCCTCCGCAGCGCCTTTGGCGAGGCAGTCGAGCTCGGTGCAGCTCAGCAGCTGCTGGGCACCGCCGCCGGCCTGGGCAGGGCTGCCGCCTCCCACCGCCGCCGCGAGGTCGGCCAGCAGCGCCGCCAGCCACTCC